TGAATCCTCCATCTATGGGTAAATAGCAGGACAGACTGGGTTCTATAACCTTGCATGGCAACTCCTCTAGGAGAAGGACAACTCTGAATTCAAACCCTGAGTAAAGCCCCTAAGGCGGATGGATTGCACTTTGTGCTACCTTCCGGCAACTCCTGCAACCGCGCTGGTACCAAACTGTATTGGTTTATCCTCTCCTTTGGACTCTGCTAGCAAGGCCGAGAGGGGGAACTAGACGTCTGGGCAGCCCTAGTTCTCCATATATCCCGTCCAGTACTCCATCGTCTCTCGAGACAGACGGATGCCGAGACATACTGCAGAAATATTGTAAAACATGGTTAAAAAGTGTTTCTTTTCTTAAATTGCGTAAGTGTTGTAAAATATTGGAAGAGTTACATCAATCATTTTGTTAATAGTGATAATAGTAATAATAATTATTGTAGTAGTAATAATAATATTAACAAAAGTAAAAAATGACTATGTATGAAGTGAAGTCAAAGGTAAGTTTGTCCTGAGTTTGACGATAAAACTACATCCGGCAACAAAGCCTCTGATATGGAGATTTTGAGGAGCGGGAAAACACTTAATTAGTGTGGTAGCATTTGTTAGGATTCCAGCTATGGGGAAATAGTGAACCATCAAACCGGGGTTAAAACATTATGAAAATACATCTTCATAGTAAAAATATCAGTAGACAGCTTTTGATCACACAGGACTGATGCAGAGATTAGCTATTACCACTACAAATAATATTAAAGCAGGCTGAAATGGCCAGGCTTTTAATGGTATATATAATGCAGTTTTTAGTTTACATATGTATTTATTGATTTTTTTATGTCTTATCAACCTTTTGCAGGCTATTTAAAGCCAGAAAATATTTTTAAATTGTATGTTTTGGAGTGAATAATGATTTACTGATAAAAGTCCTATTAATTAAATTATAGCTGGAGCGAAGAAGCGGATTCATACCTTTTACAAAAAAGTATTTCCGAGTAAGTGTATATAAAGAAACAGGCTGGGATTGGATCTAGGATCTCCTATTTCCAAGTTAAAGTCATTATCCATTACACCACCTGCACATCCAAGCTGCAGCATTTGATATTCCCGAGTAAAAATGGAGAGTCAGTAATAAAGGTAGAGAAAAACGAAAAGGAAAGCAGACACATGGAAAGGTGGAAGGGACGAAGAAGCAAATATATAGACACATATATAGATAGAAAGGCTTGTTGTCTTCTGTTTTTTTACTCGTAATTTCATGTTTTCCACTTATGGAACATATCACACACAAATCCTTTCCATGTGCCTGCATTCCTTTTCGTTTTTATCTAGCTTTATTACTGACCCTCCATTTTTACCCATCTAAGTACAGATCAGGATCGGCGTTGCTTAACTTCGGTTATCTGATGAGAGCCAATGTTTCAACGTGATATGACGTAAGCTTTTTTATATATTTAAAGAACAAGTGCCTGGTAACAAAAGCATAATGCGTTGATAATATAAGTTGATAGATGGCTGTAGATTAAGGACTAGTTTAAAAATGTTTAATAATTTAATAAAGTTAAATTGACATTGTTAGGAGATAAGTACTTATTCACAGTATACCATCGATTGTCTAGAATCGAGAGACAGAAACAATTTTGCACTATATTATAATTTGTAATTAAAGTTGAAATAGGAGGTTATTGTTTATGGAAGCAATGTTGTATCCGTTGCACTGAGAATTGAGGAAGTCATTTTATACAGTTGTTTCGCTTCAAAGGAGAAATAACAGCAAGGCTAAGTGGTAGATCTTTGGGATAATGTCTTTTCAACTCACTGACCACCAAACAAATATAAATACTTGTAAACAATGTAGAACAGTCGAAACATTCTTTGGTCGCAATCCCAGTCATTTTCTATTGTTCGTTCCCATAACCGTCACATTTTCCCAACGATCGTCAGTCTGTTCAGTTAAATACGTGAATAGTTGCTGAAGTACCTAACACAAAGACCTGTAGAATCTATTTCAAAAGAATACTAATAATGTATCTGTATTCTTTATGTTAAGCCTTAAACACACTCTAGAAAGTTTAATGGGCGAGGTACAAATATATATATGTAAAGCAGGCATTATTTATTTAATATTTATATACTGAAGTCGTAAGGTGTGTAATATATTAGAGGAAAAGATGAAATTATGAGTAGAAAAACTCAAGACAACAAACGAAACCTTAAATTGGCCAGACTATGCAAGAAAGCGTGAAGTGTTTAATGTCGAAAGTTGAAAAATCATTATAAAATGCATAATGCTGTCAAATGCATCTTGAATTTTTAGGCACTAATGTTTTGCATGTTGCAAGAGACTGTAACATTTGGTCTGAGTGGTAAACAACTTTTACAACAAATTTAAACGAAATCTGGTAATAATTCCCTATTAATATTCAAAAGAAGCTGTTAATTTTGTTTTCGCTATTTCGTCAAAAAGTTATCGACTAGCCTGACCTTTAATGATCTCTTTTACGAAAACGTGAAAAAACATTTAACGAAAAGAATTTTAAAAAAATGCTGTTTAGAAAACAATATCAATGCGAATGCACGATTCTTCGTTTTCATAAACTCTGATCCGTAATGAACTTATTTTTTCTGATTTTGATAGGCCATCAAAGAATAAAAAAAAATAATTATTTAACCCTTAAACTTTTCAATTCAACTTCTCACTTAATTTACACGTTTACAAATAAATATGGAATCCCTTCTTCGATAAATACACAAAGGCTGTCCCGATGGGGAAGACACACTCATTAGATGAAACATAAAACACACACACACAATTACATATGTACACGGAGGTAGAAGGAAATGGGGTTTAATTTACATAAAATTTGAATTTTTAACGTATCCGATGCCAGATATTTCCTGTAGTAAAAAGAGATTCACACTGTATTTTGGTATTTGATTGATGTTATTTTCTTGTGAGCACAATTACCATTTTGAACGATGTCAACTTTGGTGATTTTTTTTTTATATTGAGAAAGAGAAAAATGAAAAATGTAAAGGTAATAAGAAAAACGAAATAGAAATGGATGTTGTAATGAAATTAAGAGAACAGGATTAGGAAAGAGATAAAATAATGAATAAGTACTGGAGGGGAAAAAAAGCAGGGAAAAAAAAAGAAGGGTGGACACAAAAAGGGTGTAGGGTGAAAAAGATTTGGAATGAAGCAAATAGTGAAAGCGTAATAGAACAAATTAGTGTCTGATTTTTGTAGGTACTTTAATCGTCAACTGAACTTCGCGTTTCCAACGAACTTTATGGTTCCAGCAAAGCTCAATGAGAGGTCACTAGATCTGCTCGGGGTTTGGATAAGTACAGAGACCCCAAAAATCGAACAGTGCCTACACAAACAGGATTAAAAAATGTTTTTAGAACATGTACTTGGGGAAGGAGTTGTATAAAACCGAAATTAAAAAAAAAAAACAAAAACAATAAAAAAATAAGCAATCAGCAAAAAATAAAGAAAAAAAACTATGTGAAGAGATGTAATTTACTTGCAAGACCAAAACGTATACATTATCCGCGAGTTCAGCAAAATGCAGTTTTTTTTTGGTTTGGGGCATTGAAATATTGACTTGAACAAGCGGGTCATCCTTTGAACGTTTCAGCATATCGCCGTATAATGAAGACTCGAAATGATTTAAAATAATAAAAAAGTACTATTCAAGGTCGGGATCGAAAACGGGAATAACACCATTTAGAAGAACATGGGCGGATTTTTTTCTGTTTCGTAATACTTTGTAATTTTTTCTGTATTCAGCAGAAAATTAGGGAACTGAAAAATTTTGTTAGAAACAAAGAAAAGAGTACTGCACTGTTAAGTCATTTTAGTCCACTTATATGGCACTGGATGCTGGATAATCTCCTTACAGATGAAGAAGGGACTTGAAGCAACAGAAACATAGAAAAGAGTACTGCACTGTTACGTCATATCAGTCTTCTTATATGGCACTGGATGCTAGACAATCTCCTTACAGATAAAGTTATTCGAAGCAACAGAAATGTGGCTCTAAGAGAAGAATGCTGAAAATGCCATGGACCGGACATGTGAGCAAGGATGAATTTTGTAAGAAAATGGAAACCAAAAGGACTCTTATACTTAACACCAGGAAAAGACATTCGAAATTTCTGGGATATATAATGACGGAAAATGGCTTGGAAAACGTGATGCTCATATGAAAGATTGTAGGCAAGAGAGGCAGATGAAAATGGCGCTTAATCTACCTAGTGACTGAGTAAATGAATGGCAGAACAAGGTTTAGGAGAAATAACAAAAATACAACATTTCTGAAGAGCTACAAGCAATTGTGGGGAACTATGTCGCCAACTTCCTGACATTGCACATAGAAGACGAATGATAATTTTAGATGTTTCCTTATAAGAAAGGACTTGGAATTTATTGACTAAGCAGCTTTTATTATAGCCGCCTTTTTAAATTTAAAAATAAAATCTTTCTCTTATAACAATGTCTTTTTCGGGAAAATAGGTTTCTCAAATTCAGTAGATGTTATTACGGTTTTCAGTATAGATGGAAGTTTCCTTCCTAAACTTAATAGTGAATGAAAATTAATAATTTGGTGTGAATGGTTAAGAAATAATCCCTTTATTACTGTCGTGGTTTCGATCTTCAGTTGTCCTCAAACGCTTCTGAATTTGAGTCACCATAAGCTTAGAAAATATAGAATAAAAATATCAAAACCGACTGCTAGAAGGGTAAAAAATGGGTAGGCGTATTCTATTATTAGGTAAAGATAAAAAGGCTGCAGTCATGATATAAAAGGAAAGCTGAGAAGGGCAAGAAGAATTGCATTGGCCTAACGTTATTTCCTCACCTTTTTTCTTTTGATTTTGAACAGTACTAAGCATATATAAAGAAGAGAATGAACCTTGGTTACATGATAATATTTATTTGCCTCCTCAGAAGAGCAAATAGGGCACAAGGTGAATTTAATGTAGGGTTCCACACGCGGTTAGACGAGAAAGAAATCTGGTATTGAAGGCAGTGTATAAAGAAGTAAAGAAAGATTGGAATATTGCTGACAGTCGGAGAGGAAGAAAAATAAAGAAAAGGTAAAGGATAAAGATATATCTTCAAGAAAAACAAAAAAGCAAAGAAAGGGAAAACGAATTTCAATATCCTGGCAATAAACGTGGACATTTCTAAAAATATAGTTCTGTCCTCTTAAATGCTTAAACGATCGGAAACGGTGACAGGAACATGCACACCAAAAGAACAAAACAATACATTCTGAATTTATGGGATCATCATTACTTATAATCATTTACTCTATTTATATTTGAACTATTGTCTTCATCTTTGATGTTTTTATCACAATGTTTTGACGGTTGTGCAATCCGGCTTTTCTCAGATGAGTAACCTACAGGGAATTCAGTATCTGTCTATATTTCCGAGATGATGTATTATGTACACTATTCATATCATTCAAACTATTGTCCTCATCTTTGTTGCCATATTTATCACAACATTTCGGCCGTTTTACGCTCCAGCCTTCTTCAGGTGGTTGTAAAACGTTGTGATAAATATGGCAACAAAGATAGATGAATTCAGAGTTGAAACGTTTATTTAATCTACGAGGGTAGACTGTTCTCGGACCACTGCACATGTCTATGGATATCGCATTGTTTTTACTTCGCTCTGGTCAGTTATTGCTCACCTGTTTTCACTGAGTGCAAGTACACACTGGCCGGCCCAGAGATTGAACTCACAACCACTGTTTCGACAAATTCACAAACCAACGCATTTATCCACCACGCCATTGTCCCGTAGGACGCAGATTAAATTAAAGGGCTCAGTTAGGTATTCCCAGTAGGTTTCCCAGATTGATATACACATGAGGAAGGCCGGAGGGCACAGCTGCTGAAATTTTTAATAAAAACAACAAAGACAAGGAAAATAGTCCAAATATAAATAGTATAATACTCATTCTCACTCACTATCTCTCTATAACAGAGGATATCTGTGTGTGTGTCTGTGTGATACCTTTTCACTCGAGATTCATCAAACTGATTTTGACCAAACTTGGCAAATACATTGTACAATGTAAGAGATAGGTTCTTGGCGTAAAAGATCGATAAAATAATAAAAAACAGTAATCGTTAAGGCAGATCAAAAATCAATAAATTCAACTTTTTTCCTCCTATTTCGTTCAAACTCGGTATGTAGGTTACTTACATCATGAACTCAACGATAACTCATTTTTATTTCTATGCCACTACGTTTAGCGAAAAACGAAAAATTGATTTCAACACAAATTTTAAACTAAAAACTCCCTCATTTTTCAAACAATCTAATACAAACATCACTCAATGATAGCCAACAAAAAGGTGATTTTTTAACAGTCATTTAGCATGATAATTAAGTCCACCCATATAGTGAAAACTCATGTAAATAGCGCATAATGGCGTTTTTTACTGGTTTCTTTCTTATGTTTTGTTAATCTATCAACCAATTTTAATCAAACTTAACAATTGCTTTATAAATATATCCTCTTTTACATCTCTGGTAGCACATTGACTAATTGAATTTCAAAAACTCCAAAATAATTGTGGTCTGAAGTGGGTCTTGATGTTACTTGTTTTAACCCTTCATGTCCTTGGCTAACTTCGATTGAATAAATACAAACTAGTTCTGTTATATCAGTAACTGCATTATTTCAAAATGTTTTTTAATGAAAGTACTTTAAAGTAATTTAAGAAGATAAACTGTTACATCTAAACATGATGCTGTTTTTTATCTATTCTAATTGAACGCTTTTTTCTGATCGATCAGCTTTTGATTTTATCAACCTGTTTTAGTACGTTACTAGCAAACATACCCAACGTTGCCAGAGAATAAGAAAAATAGCATTTCACTAGAAGTTTTTGTGATAGTTTATTGAATTGTTGTAACACACCTTTTCCCTGTACATTACGCTATTTACACTGATTTCACTCTAAACTTGGTTGATTCTGACTTGAATGAAAATGAGTTTTCACCCTATTTTTAAATTAACTTAGTTAAACATAGAATGATATTTCTTTATGCCCTGGTAACGTTGGGTATAGCTGCTAGTTAAATATGAAATCAATACAAAATATTGTAGATTAAAAAGGGAAATGATGTAATATTTTTTAACAGAATGATCCTCCTTGAAATAGTTTTGCATTCATTACACCAAATTATCGCTTTTTCGTCTTAGATACATACAAAAATATTTTAGATGATTTTAAAAAAATCAGTTTGTACAAAGGTTGGAGCGAATAATTAATGATTTATTGATTTGGTTTTTACAGATTATCAACCCTTTTCAGGTTATTTAAAGTCAGGAAATATTTTATATTGGGAAAATTCTTTTTGAAGATTATGATTCACTGATACAAGTTCTACTAATTAACAGAAAGCTGGGGAGAAGAGGCCTGTTCACTCCCTTTCTCAGTGAAATTTGCACCTATGCTGTTATATTGTACCCGACTGGAATTGTAACTCGGCTCTCCGATTTAAAATTCCTAACCGACATATATATATATATATATATATATATATATATATATATATATATATATATATATATATGTGTGTGTGTGTGTATGATATCCCCTGCAGTCACACGTTTAGGTACTGATCAGGCTCGACGTTGCTTAACTTAGGTGATCTTACGAGAACCAATGTTTCAACGTGATATGGCCGTAAGCCCTATAAATAAAGAAAAATGGTAAATAAAACGAAAGTTAGGTTCTGGAATCATTCCGTGCACCGTAGAGTTGGGTATTCCGTGCACCGTAGAGTTGGGTATTCCTGCACAAAGTTATCTCCCCTTTTCGTCTCTTCGAGAGGTATGCATAGAGACATAACGCTATCTTTGGCTTTGTTCTTCTCGGTTTATTTCCAAGCAACGACTCCAGGAAATGTCGTAAACTCATGTATCTTAATAAATAGTAGCCTCATGATTATTAGAATTATTTAGATTCGAATCACAGGAGGATGATAGCTGTAACGTTAGCAAAAGTTTACATCGTCAATTGATAATAATCGCCGATCTGTAATGGACACATCAGTTGATGATATTCGACGTTTAAGGGTTAAAATCAAATTGAGTTTGTAAGACTGAACATCAATTGAGTTATATGAATGTGTCGCCAATATTCTAAATCCTTAAGTAATTCAATAAAATGTTAGTAGCATTAAGATAATTACTGTAAGAAAAGAATGAAATTGAACCCTGATTATTTTGTAAATCTGTTTCATTTGTAATGCCGCAATGTTGAACAAGAGAAATTGAACAGAAGGCAATCTGTTTTATGCGAAATGAAAAAAAAAAAAAAACGAAAATAAAAGGACAAGACATGGCGAAAAGGAAGAAGAAATCGAAGGAAACCGGAGAAAAGGAAGAAGAAATCGAAGGAAACCGGAGAAAAGGAAGAAGAAATCGAAGGAAACCGGAGAAAAAAGAAAAAAAGAATAAGGAAAAAATGAAAGAGAAAAAAGAAAATAGCTTTTGAAATAAATGAATGTCATAAAATAACTGTGATCGGAAGTTTAATTCAATTTGGAATGACAAATGATGAACACATCTAATCCCTAGTATCCATAAACTTACCAAAAACCTTAGTACGCATTCGTCCGCGGCGCTTAATTGTTGGTAAGAGATACCTCAGGCTTTTAAATGAAATTTGTAGCTTGTATCAAAATTAAATCTTAAAGTTTATAGAAAAACGTGTATATGTTTCTTGTAGATGAGAAAAACAGTAAGAAACAAAAATAGGGAAACCTTCTATTTTCATGAGTTTAAAGGATTTCAAGCTATCAAATAATATTATGGCTTAAATTGTTTTATATCGAATGTAAACCCTAAGCATTTTATGTGAGAGCAATAAAGATTTTCGCCAAGGTTTGTTCAACTTGAAGATTTAAAATCCCTAAACATATTCTTGTTAGTAACGGTTTCAAACATTCGGGAAGAAACAGGAAAAGCGACAGGAAAAGGATAAACCAAAGAAAAGAAGGAACAAAGAAAAGGATAAACCAAAGAAAAGGAGGAACAAAGAAAAGGAGGAACAAAGAAAAGGAGGAACAAAGAAAAGGAGGAACAAAGAAAAGGAGGAACAAAGAAAAGAAGGAACAAAGAAAAGAAGGAACAAAGAAAATGGCACTGGAAAAGAAATCATAGTATTTATGTTGTAAATACTATGAGTGGTTTTCTCAAAAGGAATTTTCTCAAACATAAAACCAGCTTACAAATCTTATCGTGGTTCAAGATTTGCCAGGAGTAATATATTGAAAATAGAAACACCATCGAACAATAGATTAATGGTGAAAAAATCTAACATATATATATTTTTTTTATCTTGGACACATGTGAATAATTTTGTCAAAAACTACTAACATCTGTAACAGATGTATAAAATAGATAAAATTAATTAATTGTAGTAGATTATGGATAGATTATTTACTAGAATATTAGATATACGCACATACATTTTTTTTTATCAATTCATCCCAAAGCAAGGCGATAATGCCACTGAGACGCGAGAGACTACTGGGAATGAAAGAGAATGATGTTGATTTGGAAAGAATAGAGACAAACGCCAAATAACACGTAAAATAAAAAAGGGATTTTTAATGAAGGTTGGTACAAAATGAAAACAGAATGTTCGCCTGACATGCTTTTTAAAAGTCAATAACTAGCTCAGCTAAGAACTATCTCTGTCTGATCTGTCTAGAGACAAACCCCATGTCAACTGACATGCCACTATTTAAAGTCTTTGTTCACAATCGCAGACAAGTTCATCTTCAAGAGGGGTGGTAGGTTTCCGACACAACATTAAAAGTCTTTTTAAAATTCATCTTGAGTTGGAAAAATATATATATATATATATATTATATATATATAGGCATATTCACAAGAGTGTGTATGTTGATGATCAAATGTAGACAGATATATAGATATTTTAAATGAATATAGAAGAAAAATGGTTTCATGGTTAAACTTTCACACTATAGAGATGTTTAGGCCATGTTTTTAAATTTTAAACATGTTTTTTTTATGGCGGTGGGGATGTTATAGAATATACTAGTTTTGATCTGATGAAATATTTTCTGAGTAATCTGTTCATAAAAATTATTGAAATAATACAAAGCTAGTATCGATACGAAAATAGCCAAAAGAAAAAAAAACAATGAAAAGCAAACTATGTCATCTAAGATAGATAAAATGTGGGAAACCATTTTCAAGATCCAACAACAAATTATGTTATTTAAAAAAGTTAGAATGTTTTAGCAGTGTCATATGAATGTCATGTAGCGAATGCCAAACAGTTTAGAAACAATGAAAACTCTCATTCCTGTGTATGATAAATATATTAAAAATTGTTTTTGCGAGAAAAGACTATGTTTTGAACCTTGTGGACGGTTGGATCAAATTCAGAAAAAAGAACAGTAAAACATGCAAAAAACAACAACATTAAAAAAAAAAAAAAAAAAAAAAAAAGATTGTGCATTACTTGTGGACCTTCAACAGCAACAATTAAAATGGAAAGAACATAATAAATAATGATATAATCAAAAATCAGATTATCTTAAAATTTTTGAAATAAAAGGTTAGAAATAAAGTATTTATAACATCTACTGGAATTGAGAAATTAAATACAGTGGGACTAGGGTGTGTGTATTGCAGTCCGCGAATTGAATGAAGTAGTCCAGAACCATAGCACCAATTTGATGTTATAAAAAAAAAAAAAAAAAAAAAAAAAAAAAAGAACAATTCCTCATTCAGTAATGATTTGCTAATTTACAGCATAAATAATTTATTGTTTTTTTAAAAAATTTTATATTTTTTAAATATTTACTCTAAAAACATTGAATGAAAGAATCACGGGTTTCTTTAAAATGGAAAAACAATTTTAATTAAAAAATTGCCATTTGTAGTTTTATGGCGTCTAATGTAAAAAATGTTGTTTAAAAAAAATTGAACGAATGAAGATAATGACAACCACAAAAAATGCAATTGTAAAAAAAGTATTATATTTGATGTTTAAAGACAGTATGCCAATTATTTACAATCTTGGTTCTATGAAAACAAAGGGCGGAAAATAAAAAATTTAACAAGAAGCTTGCTTTTTTCGCTTTTGTGATTGAATTCAACACCCATTTTGAGCCAACCCGTTTTTTATTACTGTGTTGTGTAAAACAACAGAGCCGACCTTAGTTACAATTTGAACAAATGTTTCTTTAATGTCCGATAACATCTTCTGAAAAAATTTTTTTTTTTAATTTAATCGACATTTATGAGTTTCGAACCCAAATTTGTTCATAAAGAATGCGAAAATTCGAACCAGGTTTGTTTTTATAATTAATTTTTCTTATATATATGATTTTATATTTATTTATATTTATATATATATATATTTATATATATATAAATTTTTTTTATATTTTTAAATGAATTTTTGGGCAATGTTTTAATGATTGATTCATTTTTTTACGGTTTATCAACCTTTGTTGGTTATTTAAAGCCAGGAAATATATTTTTAAAATGGAATATCAACCAATAAATGAAGAAACATGTCTTGATAATTATTCCCAATCTTCTCAGTTGATGTTAATTTCACTGTTTAAAAAAAAATGTTTTTGATAAGGTCAAAATAATGGAAGACGAAAAATAATAAAAAATAGAAATAATTTAAAAAAAAAAAATACATTTGGCTTTATGTTTATATTAAGGTGATAAATCGTTAGAAATATTGATTTGAATGTTTCAAATGAGTATTTTTTTTTTGTCATTTGCATTAAGACATTAGCGCTAGATTCTTCTATAACTTGCCTTTCTGAGGTCCAGCGAAAGCTGATCTTGCTGGAGATGGCGAACACATCTTCAGATCAAAGATTAAAAAGAAAAACGATGGGGAAAGCAAACAGAAAATCTGCGAGCGGAACATTCATGAAAAATGCCATAATAATAGAAATAAAAAAAAAAAGAACGGAAAATATAAAGTATGTATATATAGATATTTGACATTTTTTCTTAAAAATAGTTATCAACAGATAAATTTACAGAAGAATTAATATTATAAATATATATGATTGTGTTAATAAAAGGCATTCATTTTCAACGATCAAAATTTGATTTTTAAAAATGGTAATGTACGAAATGTTGCTTCATAATCATAAGACGGTCTACAGAAGAATTTTGAACGATAATGGAAAGTGATAAGAAACGAAAAGAAAGACGAAATAATTACGTATAAAAAACATGACTAAAGTAAAAAAAAAAGAATAAATAAATTCATTGGTTTGGAAAAAAAAAAAAATTTGAAGGTATGACAAGAAAAGATTTTAAAGATGAAAAAAGATAAAAAAAAAATAAGAAAGAAAGAAGGAAAATAATGACAAACAAGGAAAATATTTATAAAGATTAAAAGAAAAAAATAATATAGATAAAATATATATATAGATAGAGAAGAGAAGAAAGAAAAAGAGAGAGAAAGACTAAAAAAATAAAAAAGAAATAACAGAAAAAAAGATAGAAGAGTAAAAAAAAATCATAGAGAGAAAAAATAAAACCAAAGAGAAAAATATTTTAGAGAGAAAGATAAGAGATAGACAGAAAATAAGAGAGAGAGAGAGGACTTTAATAGAGAAAGATAAAAAAAAAAAAGAAAGAGAAGAAAAATAAGAGAACAAAAAGAAAAGATAAATTAAGAAGAAAAAGATATTTTTGGAAACAAAAATAAAAAAGAACAAAAGAAAAGAGAACAAGTTAGAAGAGAGAACAAGATATAACACAAACTAAGATAAGAAAACAAGATAAGAGAGAACAAGATAAGAGAGAACAAGATTTTAGAGAACATATATAAGAGAACATTTAAAAAGCTTCAAATAAGAGAAAACAAAAAGAGAAAGAAAGAAAGAGAGAACAGTTTAAAAAAGAACAATTAAGAGAGAACAAGATAAAAGAAGATCCAACAAGATAAAGAGAAACAAGACCAAGAAAAAGCTAAGAGAGAAAAAGAGAGAACAAGATAAGAAAAGAGAGAGAACAAGATAAGAAAAAAGAGAGAAAAGAGTAAAAAGAAAAAGAGAGAACAAGATAAGAAGCTTTGATATTTAAAGACTAAAAAGAAAGAGAGATTCATGAGAGTTTTTTTTAGAAAGATAGAAAAAGAGAAAGAAAAAAAAAAAGAGAGAAAGAGAGAAAAAAAAAGAGATAGAGAGAAAAAAAAAGAGATAGAGAAAAAAAAAAGAAAAAAAAGAGAAAAAGAGAAGAAAAAAAAGAAAAGAGAAAATAGAAAAAGAGAAAAAAAAAAAAAGAGAGAGAAAAAAAAAAAAAGAGAAAAAAAAAAATTTTAAGAGAAAAAAGAGAGAGAAAATAAAAAGAGAGAAAGAAAAAAAAAAAAAAGAGAAGAGTAAAGAAAGAGAAAAGAAAAAGAAAGAAAGATAGAGAGAAAACTAAGAGAGAACAAGATAAGAAAGAACAGAAATAAAGAGAGAGAAAGAAGACTAAAAGATGAAAAGAGAGAGACAAAAGAAAAAATCCAAAAGAAAAGAGAGAGAGAAGAAAGAAAAAGAAAAGAAGAAAATAAGAAAAAAAGAGGGAAAGAGAAAAAAGAAGAGAGAGAAAAAAAAAAAATTTGAAGAAAGAAAAAATAAAAAGAGAACTTAAATGGAGAGAGAAAAATAAGAAGAGAGAAAAGAGAAAAAGAGAAAAAAGAAAAAAAAAAAAAGAAGGAGAGAGAAAAAAGAAAAAGAGAGAGAAAGATAAGAGAGAGAAAGAGAAAAAAAGAAAGAGAAAGAGAAAAAAAAAAGAGAGAAGAAAGAAAGAGAGAAAGAAAAAAGAAAGAGAAGAGAAAAAGAGAGAAAAAGAGAAGAAAGAGAATCAAGGAGAGAAAAGAAAAAGAAGAGAAAAAAAGAAAGAAAGAGAGAAAGAAGAGAGAGAGAAAGAGAAAGAAGAGAGAGAAGATAAGAAAGAGAGAAAGAAAGAGAGAGAGAAAGATAAGAGAGAGAGAAAGATAAGAGAGAGAGAAAGATAAGAGAGAGAGAAAGAGAAGAGAGAAAGAAAAAGAGAAGAAAAAAGAGAGAAAAAGAGAGAAGAAAAAAAAGAGAAAGAAAGAGAGAGAGAGAGAGAAGAAAGAGAAGAGAGAAAGAGAGAAGAAAAGAGAGAGAGAAAAAGAGAGAAAAAAAGAAAGAGAAAAGAAAAGAAAGAGAGAGAGAAGAAAAAGAGAAAGAAAAAAAAGAAGAGAAAAAAGAAAGAAGAAAAAAGAGAGAGAAAAGAAGAGAGAAAACGAAAGAGAAAAAAATAAGAGAAAAAAAGAAGAGAGAGAAAAAGAGAGAGAGAGAAAAATAAAGAGAGAGAAAAAAAGAGAGAGAAAAAAAAGAGAGAGAAAAAAGAGAGAGAAAAATAAGAGAGAAAAAAAAGAGAGAGAAAAAGAAAGAGAAAAAAAGAGAGAGAAAGTAAGAGAGAAAAGAGAAGAGAGAAAAAAGAGAGAGAAAAAAGAGAGAAAAAAATAAGAGAGAAGAGAGAGAGAAAATAAGAGAGAGAAAGAGAAAGAAAAAGAAGAGAGAGAAAAAAGAGAGAGAGAAAAAAGAAAAGAGAGAGAGAGAAAAAAAAAAGAGAGAGAGAAAAGAGAGAGAAAAAAAGAGAGAGAGAAAAAAAAGAGAGAGAGAGAAGAGAAAAGAGAAAAAGAGAGAGAGAGAGAGAGAGAGAAAAAGAGAGAGAGAAAGAGAGAGAAAAAAGAGAGAGAGAAAGAGAGAGAGAGAAAAGAGAGAGAGAGAAGAAAGAGAGAGAAAAAAGAGAGAGAAAAAAATAAGAGAGAGAGAAAAATAAGAGAGAGAGAGAAAGAAAAAAAGAGAGAGAAAAAAAGAGAGAGAGAAAATAAGAGAAAGAGAGAGAAAGAGAGAGAGAAAAAAGAAGAGAGAGAGAAAAATAAGAGAAAAAAAGAGATAAGAGAGAGAGAGAAAAAATAAGAGAGAGAGAAAAAAAAGAGAGAAAGAAAGAGAGAAGAAAAAAAGAGAGAGAGAGAGAAAAAAAAAGAGAGAGAGAGAGAAAAAAAAAAGAGAGAGAGAAAAAAAGAGAGAGAGAAAAAAAAAAAAAAGAGAGAGAGAGAAAAAAAAGAGAGAGAAAAAATAAGAGAGAGAAATAAGAGAGAGAGAGAAAAAAATAAGAGAGAGAGAGAAATTAAAATATAGTAAATTAAAAAGTAGAAAGAAAAAAATGAGAAAGGACAATTTGGAAAAGAATGAAAAAGAAATAATAAATAGTAAAAAAGAAAAGTCGTTAAAAATACCCCCGCCCCCCACAAAAAAAAGCAAGAAACTATTTGCTGTCTATATTTCTGAGATATGATAGAGTAACTTTTTACACTATTTATATTGTTCAGACCGTTGTCCTTATATTTATTGTCACATTAACATCATTTCGATCGTTGTACGCTCCAGCCCGCTTCAGGTGATATTTGCGTGAATTTCGAACATAATCCAGGATATTCAATCTGAATGTTGGCGTTTCTGATGATTGGTTGTGATATTTGTGTAAAAAATTTGGATTGCCTACGACTACAAATAGTCATATTGACTTATGCAGTGTGTTCCATATTGTTCAGGCTAGATGCGATGATGTCATGATTAAAAGCAACAAAAAAAATAGGTAGACTCAAGTAGGAATAAAAGCTGCAGAAACAACCCCATTCGAAGAGAATCCCATTTTTTTTGCACAAACGTCATCGAACCAATCTTCAGAAATACCAACATATAGATTGTCAGGTTAGGTTTGAAATTTAAACAAATATCATCCGAAGAAGGCCGGAGGTTAAAACAGCTGAAACCTTGTGAGGACAACAGTTCGAACAATGAAAATATTATAAAGTATTTTCTTTCTGATACACTGATTTCCTTGGATTTTTTTTCCTCATTTCAGTTGTTAATGTCACTTCTATGTCAAGAACATTTTCTTCTGATTGATTTAAATTGCACATAAGAAGGGTAAAGCAAAACTGAAATATAAACAAAAAAAACCCCAGTGAAGTCACCTTGAAAAAGACACGCCACAATATCATTATTATCAACACAGCATTTACGAATATGACGATAGAGGCGATTATATAATGATGATTCTGCATGAAAAACAAAAAAACAAACCGACCCCCCTCCAAAAAACAAAAAAAAACCCCAAAAAAAACGTTCTTCTTTAGCTGAGCCGGTGCAGATTTTTGGACTATTCTGATTGTGTCATTCATCATTTTTTGGTCGGGCTAAGAATGTCATCCTTCACACGTCCCTCCATATTTGATGAATTACCAGTCAGTGAACGATGACTGACCCCCAGATGAGAGACTAACTTCTACAGAAGGAAGAACAAAATTACAGGTTTTGCCATGTGAAACATTAAAAGCGACTTTCGGAAAATTTTTTGGCACGCTAAACGAAAACCGGCATGCATTTTATTCCGAAGGAAATGAGTTGATTTACAGAAAAATGGGTTGATTTACAGAGAAAAAAAAAAATGGAAAGACGGTTTAGTAAGTCACGGAAATTATTACAAACGAGAAACAAATATTAATTAATTTAATAACCCGTTCTTTAATTTATATGAACATTTAAATGAGTAAATCAATTTGTTAAAAGGTCGCCTTCATTGTACCGAATTCTATCAGACAGTCTGAAAAATTCCTTCTGTTTTTTGCTATTAAGTGGTGTCAGGAGCGTTTAGTTTTAACTCAATTCATAAAAAAAATCTAATTTTTGATTGTATTGCAATTTTATATCTGTTCAGAATTTGGCAAAAATTTATGCGTTTTTGTTTGTCAAGTCAAAAATTTCAAGTAGAAGAAACAAAGCAACATTTTCGGTGTTGTGGTAAACCTTACTACAGTAGAAGAACTCTTCTCCCTTTCATAAATACTAACTGCGAGACTTCCTAGCAAGAGTCGTAGGGCAGTCGGTTGGGAAGCGGAGACGCAGTGTTAACCTACCGTTCGGACGTACACACCTACCTGCTTATTACTAACACTCTTGTATATATCTGATATTCCAATACACTTGTTCAATCAACCTTCGTCTCCCGTGTCTTTTTTTATGGGTCCCTAAACAGGCCACAACAGTCAGCTTCTTATGGTTTTTTAGTTTAGCAAAAATGAAAATGCAACTCATACAAAGATTTACGAGGCTTATGGAGAAGGTAATGTGAATGATCCAACGTGTCATTATTAGTTTGCGAAGTTTACTGTTTTTATAAAGGTGACTGTGTGATTCGAAAAGGGCATACATACACCCTTTTTGCATATTTTTCAATTTTCAAAATGAGAAAACTGATATCTATGGTAACAGTAATGGCGAAACAAGCGTCTCCATGCAAGAAACATTCCGTATTTATTGACGGGATAATTCACGTTACTGTCGGTTGGATTTATAAAAACATTCTCTTGACAATGCTTTTTCAGGAAGATAGATTTCTCAAGTACACTGTTATCACTCCCTCTCTGTGTTACTGATGCAAGTTTCATTCCTAAACTTTTGTTTAAGGTGGTGTGGAAAGCCAATATATGGATTATATCATTATTTCCCCTTCTAATTTCATGTGTTAGCCATTTTAGTTGTTGATGGAAGTCTTCAAGAGATGTAGTTTTTGTTATTTACTAAACTAGTTTGTTTGTAATTCTGTGGCGTCAACCTATAAGATTTGATACACGTTAGGTCTTCCTTAAGACCTAAAGGATAAATTCAGTTGAAGCCATTTTTATCATTGAGCTGGAGAATCGTTTTTACATACATGATAGCTTTTATAAACAATCATATAATATAGAGATATTTCGTGAGTTTGGTCTCATTTTTCTGAATTTTTATATTTAATGTGATCTCTCATTTCACCAAAATGCACTACGCCGATTAATTGATGCCGATAATAATTCAGACATTAACTGAGAAGAATCAATGTTATACGACACGGGAGATAACCAAATTAAAAAAAATATATATCGTTTCACCTCAAGCAAGGCAATAAAGCCACTATGACGCAAAGAGAGTGTTTGTAAATACGAGACCAATAAAAGAACACAATTTTTGGAGATCAAACTTGACGGGTAAGCAAGAAGCCAGAAGAGAGGTCTACAAGTAAGAAGTGCGATAGAAGAAACTGTTAGCATAGAACTTACGGTTACATCTAGCCATTTCATCTCTAGTGTGATATGACCAATGTAGAATACCCCAGTCAAGTGCTGAATATTACTTTTTGATTCTTTTATATTAGTTACTTCGCTGGAAAGTTCTTACTCATTTGAGCCGTTCACCAGCGATTAACCTTTCGAATTTGTTGATCTTTATAGAATTCACCTCATGAAAGTAATTTCAATTTTTAAAAAATCGAAATGCATCTTTGCTAAGAAAAGATAAAAAAAGTTCTGGAAATATGAAATTCCCTGCAAGAAGGCAGACGATAGCAGAAACAATATTACATATCTTGTACTATAATATCGAAAAATATTTTTATTTTTACTTAATAAACCAAACGAACATTTGTGGCCAGCCAACATTTTTCACTAGTTTTACATTCATATTATGGTAAGTGGAGTAATTCTAACCTCCAGCGATTTTCAGAGAGAAGGTCAAAATGATTGGTTCCTACAGAAATGCTAAATTATTTACTGCAAATGTCATGGAAATGTGTCCTGTTTTATATCCCCCCCCCTCTTAAATAAATTTTCACATCTTTGGTTTCATTCTGTTACATAATTTGTTATCGATAAAACTTTCGTATATTTTAAATTTCAGAGTCAGAAAAAAGAGGAGGAAGAGAAGAATTAATCAAAGAAATACAAAATACAAGGTTGCAAAAATAAATAAATAAACAAATAAATAAATAAAACAACTTCTGGAAAAAATAAAATGAGAATGAGTAGGAAGAAAACAGAAAAGCAGTTGTTAGAAGAAATATGAATAAGAAACAGAAAAATAATACCAAAGTGAAATGACATGTGGCTGGGCCAAAAAAAAAAAAAATTATATATATATATATATATATATATATATATATAAAGCTGATTGAAAGGGAAAAAGATACGTTGGTCGATAATGTAATATTCACGACAATTGTTGTTTTGTGTCATACAATGAAAGACGAAGCAACAAAAACAATAAATGATGATTTGAGTCAAATGCAATATTACTGAATAAATTTTTTGAGATGCATTTAACGGATGTGTTAAAGAAAACCGAACACACACATACACGAGGGTGCATTAAGTTCATAGTATACTTTTCGATCTATGTGATTAAGTGCATTGATAAGGCAAGAGATTATATGGAAAAAATTTCTTCTGCATAATTCTTTTTTTATCAACAGACCGTGGACTTGTTGACGCACCTACATATATGATAATAAATAAACATGAGTTTATGTTTATAAAAAAAATATAATACCGTATATACTCGCATATAGTGCGAGCTTTTATGACATATAGCGGGTTACACTATACACAGGTAATTTTCTTTGAAGACGTTAAAAATCAGGCATGAACGGAGACAAAAATCGGGTATCTAAATTTTGTATCAAATATTTTACGATAAGTGGTTTTTCATACCATTCTGGGGGTAGCTTTGAACAAAAAAAGAATGGGTACCTTTTATTTGCTCTAAAATATGTCTAGGTTAATATCCACTACTGCAATATTTGATTACGGTAGGCCGACTAGTATTGCTCAGGGATCGCATTATACACAAGCTATTTGAAAAAAAAAATCAAAGAGAGCACTATTCATGAAATCGACTTATACACGTATATATAAGGTAGATGTAATTAATGAAGACATGTTAATTACAAAGTGGATGTTAAAAATTGACTGATAATGTTCTAGAAATTTCTAGAAACTTTTCTTTATAAATACAGTCATATTGGTGACTATGAGCGGGTATTTACAAGGGGAGTGAACAGCGCTGCAACAGAGTAATGACTTCGTATCCCAAATGTATCTACTAATAGATATAGTAGATTAGGTCATCGTATTATCTTAATCGATAGATTACGAAACTGGTAAGGAATTTCAAATAAACAGTACAAGATAATTTTGTACTGAACGGTTTCGTAAAATTAATGTAAATGGGAGAAAGGATTTATGTGTGCGTGTCCGTGTGTGTATATATGAGTATGTGAGAGTACATTTACTACATTTATATGTAGAGGCGTGAACGTGCATACATTTGTCTAATTTCGTTTGATTAAAAGTATAAGGTTAGGCTTAAAGATTTTTATATAATAGTAAGAATAATGAATGTATTGTTTTTAGAAAAAGTAATAGAATTAGTATTTAAAAAATAAAACATTGGATTAAACTATGCAAGAACTAGTCCAGCTTACCTCGTTATGACTTCCAGGGAAATAGCGCGAACTAAAACCGGATGGGGCAAAAAGACAATTCTATATAGGAGGGAAGGATGAAAAGCCTTTATTTCATTGGCTGATGTTGACTGACGTATGTCAATAAGAACGGCCGGACTCCTCGCCATATCTAAATTTTTATTTATTTATTTATTTATTTTTTTGCAGTGTCGAGGTGCGTAGCACGACGCTATGAAGGAGGCGGCTTGACCACTTTAAGAATCAGGTCGGGGTTGCTGTTTGAGCCGATATGATGCAAAACCCGAAATCGGCGATGAAGACAGTGCATCACTGAAGACCATCCTTGATGCATCTTAAATGTATTATTCTACTTGCTTACTCTTCCGAGGCCAGTGTAGAGTAAATGAGGGGATTATGCTGATGAAATAATTATTTATCGTTAGGGCAAGAAAGGTCTTGAACAAGATCAAAATCCTCTAATAATTATTTTAAAAAGTAGAACTCAAGATAAACCTTTTCAAAACAAACTATATTCTGTAGTTGGAATGGAAGCATTACTGGCGTGTACCCTGAATCCGTCATAAAAATTTAGGTTGTGAAATTAGTAAATACTAAACACTTCAGATACCTCGGTGTTTGGATCAATTTCAACATATTTATTGTCGGGGATCACTAATTGGAATAGGCTGTGCTCGGGATAGTTTCGCCCCACAGCGTAAATTGTTATAAAACTCAAAAACTAGGGCCATGTACTTAGTCTTATCAGATCGAGATTTTAATACAGATACCATGCATTACGCCAAACTTGTACCGACATATCTAAACTGACAGCTGTATACAAACGTTTTCTCAAATTGATGGCTTCGAGCGAGTGAAGTGTGTAGGTTTCATCGAGGACTATCTTTCCTCGTGGGATGAAGTTACAATCACAAATAAAGAACTGTATCAGATCACAGAAACCACATAATTTGAAGACTTCCTACAGCAACAACAAGTAAAATGTGTAGCACATATAATTCGAAGAGAGAATAAAGCTGATGCTTTACACTACTCCAAATAAAAGCTAAGGATGGAAGCCACTGTCAAAACTTGAAATAATATTAGCAGCTACTAAATAAATTTCAACCAAACTGCTTGGTCAATGAATGCCTAAAGTTCTCTTATAGATATACAACTAATATTACCATTGCTATTAACATTACCATAAGCATAATTTTAGATATTCCTGTTTTCAAACACTGAAATTGATATCTACTCAATTATCGCTAGTAAAGCTGACATTAAATAAGCGATAATTAATATTATTTTATTTCCGAAAATTCTAAGTAGATGTTATGAAAAATAATTCTAATGATTGATAGGAAAATTGGTTTAAACTGGTTTTAGGAACAAGATATATATTATATATATATATATATATATATATATATATATATATATATATATTACTGTTGTCTTAAGAAATAAAAAAAACGCAGAAAAACGCATGTTTTAAAAGTATTGTTTTTATTATTTAATTTTAAATAGAATAATTTATAAACTTTTAAGTCATTTAAAATTCCGTATTAATTTGTAGCGGCCAATTTATTTTGTTATTAAATTGAATTTACTAAACATAACTAAAAAAAAGCGCATATATATAAAATTTCTTAGCGACGGACATAATCTTGATATAAGATACACAGAGGACATTATGATGATGGTAGACAGAGAAAAGTGAAGGAACTCTTAGACGATTTAGCAAGAGACAGCGGGAACAATCAATTCTAAGAAGATAGTATTTAAGGTCGTTAGCAAAAGGAACAGTACAAAATGCGAGCGACAAAATGGAGACGTCAAAATCAAGTTAACTCTGGGAAGTTTTCTAACAATCGATGGAAAATGTGAGACCGAATTCCGAAAGTGTATAGGAATAGCGAAAAATCTTATTAA